GATCATGACCTGAGCCGAAGGCAGTCGCTTAACCAACTGAACCACCCAGGAGCCCCTCTAGTGCATTCTTCAGTTCTGTGTTTAGACTATATCCAGAATTTGACCATTTTTCATGATTTGTAACATACTACCCTTATCCTTTGTATCATTATGTCTCATCTGTATTAATTATAGCAGTAGCCTGATATCTCCCTGCTCCTACTTTTCCTCTGTGGTCTGTTCTCCATGTGGCAGCTACAGTGACCTTTTGAAATACATGCCAGTCATGTTATTTTTCTGCTCAGAACTCTATTATCTTCCCATTTTGCTGAAGATAAAAATCTTAAGTCCTTACAGTTTCTTACAAGGCCCTTTTTGACATGATGTCTCTCTCTTTACCTCTTTCCCTACCTCTGACCTCATCTTCTACTCTCCTCTTCTATCCCTTACTGACCTCTTTGCTGTTCCCTGAAAATGCCTAGCATGTTCCTGCCATGTAATGATCTTTCTTTGGAGATATGCATAATGGGCTTTCTCATCTCCTTTTTTTTTTTTTTTATTCTTATGTTAATCTCCATACATTACATCATTAGTTTTAGATGAAGTGTTCCATGATTCATTGTTTGTGCATAACACCCAGTGCTCCATGCAGAATGTGCCCTCCTCAATACCCACCACCAGGCTAACCCATCCTCCCACCCCCCTCCCCTCTAGAACCCTGTTAGTTTTTCAGAGTCCATCGTCTCTCATGGTTCGTCTACCCCTCCAATTTCCCCCGCTTCATTCTTCTTTTAAGTCTTTGCTTAAATGTCAGCTTTTCAATGGGACCTTCCTTTGTTACCTTATATAAAATTACACTTCCTTCTTCGACACTCCTTGCTTTATTAATTTACTTCATAGAACTGATCACCTTCTGATGCACTATATCATTTCCTTATCAACTTAGAATGGTACTTTAGAGGATGGGGTCCATCATGGGTGCATTGATGTTCTGCTGTCTGATTGTGGGCAGTGTTGAGACTGGCTGACACATAGTTCTGAAAGATTTTTGCCTGCATGTATATGGCAGTATATAACACTAGTAGCAGATGACACAAAAAAATTACTTTAGACTTAAACAGAATTGTGTTTAATCCCTAGCCTTTTTCCAGTACAGCTCTTTGAATTATAGAAGCCATATAAATAGTAGGTTTGAATTTGTAGTGTAAATAAAACTGCAACTTTTAAATATTTAAATTACTTGTCAATATGCTAAATGCTTTGCTTACTATAATATTACACATCTATTAATTTTAAAATGTTTTTTATATTTTTTAAAGGACGATTACTGAGAGCCAATCAGATTAGTTTCAACTGGGACAGGCTTGCTAGCTGGATCAACCTTACTGAGCAGTGGCCATACCGAACTTCATGGCTCATATTATATTTGGAAGAGACTGAAGGTATTCCAGATCAAATGACATTAAAAACCATCTATGAAAGGTACTTTGACCTCTTGATATTTAACTTTATCTTAGATTGAGTTGACTTTTCAGAAAAAAGTTAATGCATATAAAACAAAATGAATACAAAATAATATGCATGAAATGTATACTTCTGGATTCAACTAACCATTCTCATTAATTCCATTATAATTTTGGAGTTGTATTAGCACAGATAAATATCTCATGTAAAATTTACCTCTTTAGTTGGATATAGTCTTCCCTTTTCAGGGTAACTTACATGGTAAAAAAAAGTTTAATTAATAGTCCTATTAGTTTTGTGTATTTATACATACAAAATGCAAATCTTGAAATGTTATTATTTTTTCCATCTTATTTTTTATTCTAAGTGTCTTTACTTAGAATATTAAAGAGATTAAATTTTTTATTTTTATTTATTTATTTATTCATTTGAGACACAGAGATACAGGGGGAGAGAGAGAGAGCATGAGCAGGGGAAGAGGCAGAGGGAGAGGGAGAAAGAGGCTCCCCGCTGAGCCAGCAGCCCGATGTGGGGCTTGATCCCAGGACTCTGGGATCATGACCTGAGCCAAAGGCAGACGCTTAACCATCTGAGCCACCCAGGCGCCCCAAGGAGGTTAAATTTTTTAGATCATTAGTACAGATATTTTCAGTTTTGTATCTGGAGGACTTTTGAAACTGAATATAAGCTGGAAAACATCCTTTGCATTAAGCAATAAAGGAATTTATTGTTCCTTTAAAGTCAGTCATTTGAAGTACTTTTAAAATTTTTTCTTCTGGTAAGAAATTAATTAAATTTTTTCTTGAAAGATACACAGTTAAGGTTCAGTGAAATATCAAGTATGTAAAGTTTTAAGAGTTGACAATTTCTTATCAAATTCACAAATGAAATTATAATCCTTTTTGTTTGCCAGAATACTTAATACCTTCAAAGTGTTCAATTGCTGCTCTAAATAAACATCTCTTAGAAAAAAGATAGTACCAAGAAATTACACAATTTTGTAAAACTCGGTATAACTGAAATAATTATTTTAACATATAAATGAAATACTAACTCTAACAAAGCATTTAGTATATAGTTCATATATTAAAACTTTTAAGATCACAAAAATTTTTTCCAAAGTACTGTCAGCATACAGTTTTCCTTATTTTTCAAGCCCCATATTTTTTAAAGATTTTATTTAGAGAGAGAGAAAAAAAGAGAGTGGGGGAGGGAGAGGGAGAGGAATGTCAAGCAGATTCCGTGCTGAGCGTGGAGCCCAGTGCGGGGATAGATATCATGACCCTGAGATCATGACCTGAGCTGAAATCAGGAGTCGGTCGCTTAACCAACTGGACCACCCAGGCACCCCTCCCCATTTTTCATGTATGTATTTTATTTAATCCTAGGCTTTAGAATTACAGAGAATGGTGTAGTAATAGTCTACAGATATGCACTCTTCTTGATTTTGCTGTTTAATTTATACTAAAGTTGTTTAATTTATACTAAAGTTATTTAAACTGTGTGCTGTGTCAAGTAGGTGTTCCAGTAGATGGCAGTGATGCATAATTACTGCCTGCTGTAGAGAAGTGGCACTGAATTTCATCTGCTCTTTGATATTTTAGAAATTATCTTTTTTTCTTATAAGATACACGATTGATTTTTCTCTTGGTTGTGTAGAAAAATAGTTTTATTTCATGAATAAGTTTTACATCATAACACGTGTTGCATAGTTATGAATGTTTGCTAGATGAGCATAGTTATTATTAAACAGTTAAAATTTAACTTTTTAAATGTTTTAACTTCTTAATTATAATTCATACCAATATAATAGGTTTTATTTTTCACATGGTATAGTTTTTGCACAAAGTGCTAATTAGCATGGACAGGTAGTCCTTTGGCACTTCACCTCATCCTTGAGAAATTATTATTTGTGTGTAAATAAAAATATGTCTGAGAAAAAACTAAGCCTTCATTTAGGAACTGTAAACAGGATTCTTAGAGTCTGTCTGAACTGGTGTTGTTCTTAGAGTAATACATTTGGTTTCAAGAAATTTGAAATCATGGCAACAGGAGAGCTGCCTGTCTCACAGGGGTCCTCATTTAAGGAGGAGGGGTTGCTCATCATTAGCGTTTTCTCCTTTTGGCATGTGTATTTCCAACCTTTCTTCCTCAAGCACCAGAGTCTGCCAGTGCCTTAGTTCTCTTGCAGCTTTAGAAAGCTCGGTGGTTAGAACAGTTCCATGTTATTAACAAGGAAGATTGTGGTTCAGAAAGTTTAGGTCATTTCCCCAAGTCACTTAGCTCTTAAGTAGTAGAGCTTTTTCCATTCAGGTCTCTCAGAGTCCGTAAACTACTTAGGTGCCCGTCACTGTTCTAAACACTTTGTTTTAACACCTTTTATTCTCACCATCTATTGTTATTATTAAGTAGTAATAAGTAAGTGTTATTATTCTTATTTTACACATGAGAAAATTGAAGCCCAGAGAAGGTGAGTCATGTCCTGATGTCTCACAGCCACTAAGTGCTAGAGCTGGGTACCTGCTCCAGAGTCCATGGGCAGAGGGTGCCGCTTCTCACAACATGGTAGTGTCATCTAAATTTTCTTCAGCTGTAGCCTTGTCTGGAATACTTAAGACACTGAACGTTTATGATGAAAATGAAGTGTCTGGAGTTTTTACAATTCTGTGTTCTCCATTTCTTTCTAGAATATTATAAGATAGTAATACTCTATTTAAGATATAAGATGTTTAATATAAATTGTCTTATTTACTCCAATGACAACTAACCTATTAAGCAGACATTGCTATATTATTTTTTTCTACAATTTTTCTTTGCCTTTGTAAAAACATCAGCTTTCTCTATTTAAGATAACCTGTTAGTGATTACGTTTTTCAGTTTTCCTCCCTGCCCCCCCTGCCCCGGGCTTTTAACAGTAAATATAGCCCATGTCAATCTGTGGTTTTGGTACAGAAGAGGACTCAGGTCAGGCTCTTTACCTTCCTTTAGTTGAGTATATTGCTTAGAAGTACACTGTGTCTCAGGATTACAGAAACATTAATCAACTTTTTGCATTTCAAGGGCTGTGTGCTTGAAGCCCCAGGCACTAGGCCCTCTATATGTTCTGTGAAGAAGGTGGGAAGTGGTCAAAGTCTGGGTCCCCAGGAGACAGAAGCAGGAAAGTTGTGAAAATGAATACAAGGTTTTTAAAGTCCTCAAAAAAATTCATATTTCAGGGGTGCCTGGGTGGCTCAGTCGTTAAGCGTCTGCCTTCGGCTCAGGTCATGATCCCAGTGTCCTGGGATCGAGCCCCGC